AAAAAAAGCAGCTTAAGACCAGGTAAACTAAATCATACCGGTACAGTGGGAGTTTCATGATTTAGGCGAAATCAGGAAACCACTTGAGTAACTTCATAGCTTTTCCTGCGATATTAAAATATTTCTTGAAGAAAATTCCGTGTCTTCAGTCATTGTTAGTTGGACCAACACATGTCTCACATCCATGAGTTCCATTTTTCACTTATCTAGTAGCTTAAGATTATCAACACTCTCTCTGATAACATCCATAGGAGGGTGTCCCCACTGAAATTTTTCAATGAGAGCAAACTTAAATTTTTCTGTCATGGTAGAAATTTCTAATTCTGAGAAAAAGATTGTTGTTTTTCCACATTTCCTACTTCCTTTCTTAACAAAAGGATAATCATTTGTACCCTCACAACATTTCTTATAACTTAAGGGAAATACCACAGCGGACTCCACCTGAGGGTTACCCACCACGTGGGCAAATAAGACTTTGTCCGGCTCAACCAAAGAAGAAGGAAGTGTCATCAAAGCAAGGAGAGCTGTCGGAGTTAAACTACAGCGAGGTTGCCGATAGAAAGAGTCGGGCAGGATGCCAATTATTTTTTATTTATTGAAAAATAAAAATAAACATGAACTTTTTAGTAAATTTATTGCCCCTGGTGTTTACACCCAATACTCATGCGGCAATTGAACAACAATTCAAGTGATAGTTCAGATTATGGTGGGGTGGATTATGATTCATTTAATTGTTTCAAAGACACCAAAATAATATTTTTATGAAATTGTTGATACTTAAGTGCTTCATAAATTCAATATAGATGTTCCAAGTGATTTCTTCATGTAACTACACCTATCTTTTGTTATCATCATAGCATTTTAGCAAGTAAAATTGTGAAATAAAAATGGAGGTCAAATTCACTTCAATGGAGCATTAGACTTGTTTGTAGACTCAAACTTACTCTTCAATTTTCAAGTTTTCAAAATTAGTTATCTTCTATTAGTTTTTAAAATATGTATTAAAACTTATAAATGAGCAACATCTCAATTATAAAATCAAATCCTATCTGAAATAGTGAGCAATGTCCATAGCATCAAATTACACCAAATTATATAGATATAAGTGGCTAACTAAATAAAAATTGAACAACTTTAAGGCAGAGAAATAGTAATTTTATTTACCCACGCTACCTTATATGATAGTGAGATGGTTCGGATTTCAAATTTCTATAATCTAAATGAACCTTAGTTATGATATTCATGCAACTCGCAATATCAATTATGAATATGCAAAACTTCTCATGTTTTGAAAATTGGAAAAATCATAGTTCACAATCAAGGAATTATTAACTAAGCATCCTCAAAATCACTAATTTTCTCATCAAACTCATAAAAATCATCAGAATCATCGATTTACTTACCTTCCTTCTCCACATTTATATCCAAGCTCTTCCTAAGACGTTCATTGGTATAATGTTCAGCTTAATGATACTTATAACATGCATTGGGATAAATCATAAACCTAAAAATAGTTATTTTTCCTTCAGTGTCCTTGTCCTTGATTTACATAATGAGAGATAAAAAAATATTTGAAATTAATCTACTAAATCACAACTATTTTAGAAAATGCTAGCATTTTTAGTTTAGATTTCACATTTATATTTACTAGTTTAACCTAAACTTCATAAATATTAAAGTTCCATATATAACTTTTTATGAATAAAATATCTATAAAATCTAAAATTTGTATTAAAAATAACTAGTAAAGAGTAAAATTATCCTTATTAATGATTTCAAAAATCTAGTTCTAATTGCCTATACCAAGGACAACTAGAAAAGAATACTTTAATTTAAAGCAAAAATAGAGAAAGAATTCACCTACTTAAATGTTTATCATACAAAGTTTAACCAATCAAAACTTTTGCTTTTCAGCATTAAAATTTTCTTTCACACGGGCCTTCCTCATTTTATTTTATATTAATCAATTAATTATTTTATAAATAAATAAAATTGCATTGATCTATTGCAATGATATCTAATAGATATTTCTCATTGTAATCGAAGAATTTCTTCTATGAAGTTGGGTCGACATTAGAGATAATCCCACAGAAAGTTGTGATAGGAATAATCAAAGTAGAAGAATGGCAAAAGGGAAGAGAACAGGACATAAAAGAAAAAAAAAATAGCATTGAAGTTTAGCACGTCGAGAATCTCTTTGAAGAAGTGTCACCTTGCTGCGAGTTGTGTAAGCAAATGATAATAGTTCATGAGAAAAACAAAACAAAAAAGAGACAGATGACAATACCAACATCTAGGATAATCTTCAACTTCGATCAATTTCCTTTGAAGCTTCAATGGCATGGCATAGTGGTATCCGTAAAACGTTCTTAACTTCCAACTTTCAATGATTGTTGCAATGTTTTTTTTTATTATTATTATTTTATTTTAATTTATTTTGAAATGTTGAGTGTTGAGATATAAATTTGATATGAATCCTTACTTTTCAATAATTCATGTTGAGCATTTTCTTAGTTTTAAATTTACTTTTTTTCAAACCTTTTTGAAAATGTTCTAAACATGCAACCTTAAGTCTAACAATTAATCTACCGAATACTCTAGAACCAAATTTAATAACTCATTTAATGGTCGTGTTTTAACTCGTCAATACATTCTATTTAATCATACAATATAAACATTCATTAATATATCATTCCTAGTTTGTTATTAATTCATGATAACATTCTCATTTTTATCACACTCAAGTTAAGTATAAATAACTTGTAGTAAAACATTTTGATCAATACAGTAAAGTAAACTTAATTGTGGTTGTCAAAATAGTAACATGGTCAGCCTATCCTGGTAGACATTGTACTTAAGAATACAAACATGGCACTGGATAGTTAGCACTAGGCATCAAGTATGAGAGTACAACATTGCAATAAAGAATATATTCAACCATTCTCTACTTACTAAGTTGGAATCTATAAAGACGTTTAGTACCATTTGGCTACTAAAAAGAGATACTCCATAACGAAAATCTATCGTAAACAATGTTTAAGAAGACATATCAGAAATGTCATTTTAGTGACCCCAATCGCTCTTCCATCTTAAAATTGGTAACAAGAGAAAGAAGAAAAGAAAGATAAGATCCAAAAATCATCATGTGTCCATACATACTCCATCCTTAAGAGCAATTTAATTGTTTTATCTATCAAGCCAAAATCTAATTTAGAGTAGAACAAAACCTAGATTCACCATATGTGAAAGAGACCGTCAGACCTTTAAGAGAATAAGCTATAAAAGTTCTAATTACAAGAAACTTCTTCATTTTAACCAACATTAATTCTAGAAATTATATTCTTAACTATACTTTTATTTTCTATGTAATAGAGAAAAAACAATTGAATAATTATCAATATTAATTGATAATTGATGATATCACAAACATAAAAAATACATATCACATACACAATCTTTATTGTACTAATTTTCAGTCATCTATCTTCTAAATATTTCCTCCATTGTTCTAATTTTTTACTCACTTAAGTGCTACACAAAAATATATAGACTCGATATTGATCTTTGATGTAAACCTATAATAATTAAAACCCCATAGATCTCTCCACAAATAATTTTAATGCTAAATCATGTTGTATCTTACATATCTTTATACATATATTTCTACTATAATACGCATTAGCACTAGATCATAAGAATTCTCAAGATTAATAAAAACCATATGAAGATCCTTTCTTTATACTTTTTCATTAATTACTCGAACAAAAACTCACCTCCACATTAGATCTTTTTGGCAAGGCACCACATAGGTTCTTTGAAACAAACATACTTTTTTAAGCTCTAAATATAATCTTTTGTCAATTCATCGGATTAGTTTGGGTACAAAAAAAGATTTGTAGATTAGCTAATTATCTAAATCTAGATTTTAAGAATCCTAAAATTGTTAAATCCTAAAGACAATTTGTCATTAAAATTTTGAACGACTACTAAATCTTGGAAAGCTATTTAGCCATTTGTTTCAAGATTTACAACTTCAATGATAACATTGTTTAACCAAAACTTAAAATAAATGGTTAAAATTTAAGGTAAAGCCTATGTTGGATCAATTATGTTGTTATGCTTTAATAATAATCTTATAATGTATTTTCAAACCCCAAAACCCATCCTTCCTTCTCTATTTTCTTTGATTCTTATAATGCCTTCCAGACCTTGACTCATTTTATGTTTTTATCCAATATTTCTATCATGAATTTGATACCTCATTGTATGTTTTTTATCCAAATTTGTTAACATGAATTTGATATTTACCACATTTTATTTCTCGACATTCTTGATGTTTCATATTTATCCATTAAACAATCACAATTTTTGGCCTTCAACCACTCACAGCTCTCACGTTTATATAAATCACTTAAATCTGACCATTTCCCGGATTAAATAAAAATGATATATAGCTAGAAAAAAGAAGAAAAATAGTATTTAAGAAGGCTTTAAGATTTATGGAGCTTAAAACATTGTTTGCAAGATTTAACCTAAATCCTAGTTAAATCTTGCAAACAAACAGCTCCCAAGTGTATTTATCAATTAGAAAAATATATTCTTTAATTGAACCCCATAACATGGGATAAGTTCATGAGGCCAGTAAAGATAATGAAGATTAAAATATCTATAACTGGAATTTAAAATAAAAAATACAAAGAAGTGCAGAATCATCCTTCTAAATGATATGAGTTCAAATTGTCTAATGTGAGGTAAATTAATGAAAAATAAAAGGAAATTCCCTGCATCAAATGACTATGTATTTTTAATTAATTTATTGCACGAAAAAAATTTTAATAAATATCTTTCATTGTGAGTAAGGAATTTCCTCCCTTTGCCTCGGCAGAGCCCAGTTGTAATCCAACGGGAAGCAATTGTCGGGATCGCAAAATAAGTGGGATGATAGCAAAGAGGGTAAAAGGAAGTAAGACTAGAAGAGAGAATAACTTATTGCAGTTTACCTCGTTGGAAAGCTCCTCAGAACAGAGACGCGCCGATGGCTGAGCAAATAAGGTAGCGCGCTGATTTAGAAGAAAGAAAGGAAAAGAGGCCGTCGACAAGGCTGACTTCCGGGATAGCATGCAACTTCGATGGGGTTAACGAAGGTAAGTTTAATTCCGTCCGAAGCTCCCGGCGACTTGCTGGAATCCGAAACCCTTCCAAGGGGCTGCCTGGAATCTAATTGAAGGAGGAAGCTTAACGTAACACGGAATTCTTATGTGCATACCTGAGATTTGGAAAATTTAAATCCGAGATTTTATATTTCACCTATTTTAGTAAATTCTTTGTGGAATGTCGAATTGGGCCTCTCTATAACATGAATCCAGGAAGGCTAAAATTGCTCATATCTGACATCCTTGAAAACTCAAATATCCATGAAACGCATATGCATTAATAAATTTTCAATCCACAGCAAATCTGAATGCATGACACGGATTCGATGTAATTTTGTAAGCGAAAAATATTTAAATTTTGATTAAGAGTTTTTCAGAGCTTTAATTTCAGCAAACTTATAGTCACAGCAAACTTATAGTCAAACGAGACGGACACAATTATATCAAAATTGGTCAAATTTGAGTCAAATCAAGCTCCAATCAAGACATTAAACCACTTTTAGAGGTTTTCCGGACATATCTAGAAGACCAAACGAATGTCGAATGTAACAAACCTATAGTCGAATCGAGCATCTCAAAAATACGAATCCAACGAGCCTAAGTTTGCCCAGTTCCAACATCGTTAAGGCACTCAAATGACCATCAAACATCGTCTGATCGAAGGAAGCCCTCTGGACGTTCAATCAAAGTGATTCATATTTTTTATTAATTGCACCCAGAATACTATAAATAGAAGCCACCACTCTCATGAGAGGGAGGGGAGAGTTTGAGATTTAAGTAATAGCTTGAAGATTTGAGAAATAGCTGAAGTTCAACACCACCACCGCCAACTATCGTCAACTATCACTAACCTCTGTTAACCACTATCGATTGTCGTCGACTTTCGTCGATCGTCGTCAACCTTCGTTGTCCGCCACTGACCTCCGACAACCACCGATGTCTATCGTTGATCACAGCTAATCTCCATTGACTATTGTCGATTGTCGTCGATCACACCCAATCTCCGTCAACCACCGTTGAATGTCGTCAATCACAATCAATCATCGTCGACCACCATCGACCAAACACTAATAATCACTATCGGTCGTCACCCTTTCTCAGTGCATGTGAGCTTTCCCGCTGACACTTGTTTTCATGCAGGATTGAGTCTTTTATTTTCATATGTACTTTTTAGAGTCTAGGAGATAACCCAAGCGAAACTCATTTTATCGAGAGTATTCTTAGGTACCCCCAAGATGTAATTAACCAAGTGGGATACGTCCCCTTGGGAGTGCTATTGACCCCAGAACAGACACCTACACCTGAATCTCTGGTTATGGTACCGTCTACGTAGGTATTCATTTGCAGAAATCGGTTTAAGGTGCTTTTGCCCGATCTTGTTTGGGCGGACACTCTTAACCTATCCTTGCGAGGTTTACCGCACGTAGACTCTCAACGTTTTGTGTTTTCTCTTGTTTGTCGCATTGACGTATGTCCCTTTTTATTTGTTTCCTCTCCTTTTCAAATCATTGATCTGATTCGGCTGGGAGATTTATTCGAATAGGGGAAGTATACGATGATCGACAAGCTGACGACTCCTTTTAAACTAAAAGAGAGAAAAACGAACGAAAGCACTCAGTAACAAATTCATCAGCACATCGACGTTGAAACTTGGGATACGTCCACTTGGGAGTGCACTTAATCCCAAAACAGCCATTTACACCTGATTCTCTGATTATGGGTAGCTTGCGTAGGTATTCCTTCGAGAATTTTGGTCCAAGGTGCCTCCACCCGATCTTGTTTGGGCGAATATACTTGGCTTATTATTGTGAGGTTTGTCGCAATTAGGCACTCCAAATTTTATTTTTTCTCTTGTCGGTTGTTTTTGTCTTATATCTATCTTTTTCGGTCTTCTTCAGGTCATTCATATGACCCAGAAGAGAGATTTATTCGAATAAGAGAAGTATACGACGATCAACAGACTGGTGACTTCTTCAAAAATAAAAGAGAGAAAAACAAATGGAAATAATAAATAGATGGTGGTTTAAAACTCGTTTAAGCATCTGGCCGCTATGATCCCTACACTTAGAAGATTTTGCTTTTGGTTTGGAACAAGGTAAATTTGTAATGAAAAAGACTTGGAGATTTAATATAGTTATGTAATGAAAGGAAATTTTTGTAACCGACCAATGGAATAAGATGAAGTATGGCTTTCGGATAGTTATTTTGCTATTATTATTTTTTGCATTTTATGCACTTTATCATTTACAATATGTGGTGTGTGTGCATGAGTCGATTGCTTGTCTCTTAAGAGTCTTTTTGGTTGGCTTTGACATAGCTTCTACATGACTCAAGTCTTATTTTACCCCCATCTAATTCACTCGGTCGTTTCACCACCACAAGTTGTTTATTTCTTGAAGTCTGCTTCTAGAGTTATTTATTCAGTACTCTTCGTGAAGCTTGTCACTGTTGGGCAGGAAACCATCTCTTGAGGTTCACCTGGCTCGAGATCAAAGACAAGTTTTTTAGAAGCTTTAGTTTTGGAGGTCAACTTTTGGTGTTAAATGTCAATCGAACATCATGTGTCATTTTCGGTCATTCTGAGTAATTTCTCGATCGGACGACTTGCATCATTGTTGATTTGTTTCGAGGCATTGATGCCCGACCCACCTCTTACATTTCCTGAGTCTCGAAAATTTGTTTGGATCTCCGCCTTGGATGAACTACCCCTTTTGTTAGACTTATTAAGTGAATCCATCGCTGCTTTTGCGGAGTAACCATGAGACTCACTTCTGGGGTGATTTGTTGGGTACCCTTCATGGAGTTTGTCACTACTGAGTAGGGAACCACCTTCAAAAGATTTATCCAACTCAAGCTTATAGACAAGTTTAGGAAATTTTGTGTCACTTTTGTCGATCGGATTGTCACCTCGCACGGTGGTAATCGTTGAGACTTGCTTTCGGAGTAATTTGCTATGTACCCTTCATAGAGCTTTTTGTTGTTGGGCATGGAACAACCACTGAAGCTTTGTCTGATTTGAGTTTGGGGACAAATTTAGGATGTGTGAGAGTTGTAGGTTGTTTTGTTTGTGCTTTGTTGATCGGATGACATAGTGTTGTTATCGGCTTTATCACTCAGGTTCAATTTCCGAATGGTTATTAGGCGTCGAAGCGCATGAAAGCCTCAAGTAACCCGAGTGTCGATTGAACTTTTGGTTATACAAAAAATTAGCCAACTTACGTTTTTAATATTTCTTAAGGCAAAAAATTGCAAGCTTGTTGGAATGAAACCGCCTTTTGTTATATTTTGAGGCTCTCAATAGAAAAGCCTTTGGGACCTTATGATCATCTGACGAGCACTCATAGTAACGAGCCAATAGTTGGTCATGGTGGCAAACCTGACCTCATCAATGATTGCTCCTGTTAGTCCCCCTATTGTCGAAGGACGGTTAATTGTCTTCACGTAGAGAATGAGTGAAAGGATATGGACCGTCCTTTCGCCTCCACTAGTTATTTTACTGCGTTTTATTTTGTGGGCGACAATCAGTGATTCGAATTTTTTATAGAAAGGATTGTTGACATACTCATCGATTACAATGTGGTTGTTGGTCAGCTTTCTTTAATCAGTGCAGGCCTAGGTCATATCGAAATCATTCTCCTCTCAGCCCTTGGAAAAAGGCAACATACGTTATCGTGGGTTCCAAATTTTGCACCTCCAACATTTCTTTCTAAAATCTAGTTATATACGAGCAATAGCTCTCATTTTGCCTTTGCTTGATTAGTCAAAGGGCTTGCGAACCCTTCTACGGCTTCTGGGTGATGGCTAACTGCGCCACGAACATCCTCTTAAAATCAACAAATGAGGTAATTACTATGGATGCAATCCATTGAGCCACATGAGGCTGGCTCCTTCAACATAGTGAAAAAGAAATGACACGTCTTATAATCGATGATCCTAAATATGCAAATGATAAAATCGAAGGAGGCAATATGGTCGGTTGAATCAGTCTGACCTTTGTAAGATTCAAAAAATGGTATATTGAACTTCTCAGAGGGTCCATTGGCCGGAATTTTCCAAGAGAACACATTCTCCAGCTATATGGGAGAGTTGTATACCCGAACTAATATATATTCATCAATGCTGGCCAAGCATTGTTCTAGTACTGGGAATCTTTTGCTCTTTCTTCAGGCAACTATGCCCTTAGACCATTGGGAGCCGGTTCCTCCTAGGAGTTTTTTTTTTTTATTTCTCCATGCTACTGCTTCTTTAATGGCTTCTAACATCTGGCTCATCATCTGTTTCCTCAACTTCTGGATCTGTTGTTATACAAACTCCCATGTGCACTCCATATTCATTGTGTCTCTTTAGTGGGTTTCTTCTCTATGTTGTGCTCATTTTCTTATTGTTTGTGTGATTCATGCTCAACGCACATTTTAGGATGTTGAGTTTGAAGCTATCCTGTAAATCATACCAAAGGAATAGAATATAAAATGAAAAAGAGTGTGTGTGTGTGTGTGTGTGTGTGTGTGTGTGTGTGTGTGTGTGTGTGTGTGTGTGTGTGTGTATAAAAAAAAAATGGCTTTTTTATAACTGATTGATTAACCCTTCACTATAGAAATGACCACCCTATTTATATTCAAAGGGGGTATGAAATGTACAACTACATTCTTGCCTCTGACTTTACAAGGGCATCTCGACTTTTACAAGGGCATTATAGGATATTTTTTGTATAAAAAATAAATGAGCCTATGGCTCTGCCAGCCTATCATTCGACCATCTGAGATCAATAGTCCTTGGGTCGGTAAGATCCATTCTGTCAGCTCTATTGAGTTGGGGTAGCCGGACATCTTAGCTGTTTTTTGGTCATTCAGATCTTAACTCTGTCGGCTTGGTCAGTCGGTCAGTTGCTTTGGTCTGACGGCTGACTATCAGTCTCTAGATTAAAAACTTCTATCGCCTTGAGACTGGGTTGTCTGGCAGTGGATGGATCACCATAATCCGACGGACAACCTACTCCTAGCAGGAGGTCCACCTGAGATGTTTGTGGTGTAATGTGATGAGAACTTTTAAGATTCTTGAAGATTCTTGGGGGTCCTTGAGAGGCGGTTGGTGATGTGGCAATGAGAGTTAGGCATCCCTTCACTTGGTTAAAGCGACCTTCATTCAGTCGGCTTCAGATTCTGCTCTAAGGGAGCTGTAGTTGCTCTATGAGGCCTTTTAATCTTCAGCAAATGTGAACATTGATCTTCCTTCAGTGGGCCACCCTCGACCGCATTTTTGTCACATAGTTCATTGAATTTTTTCGAGATTCATGCAAGCACATTTTTGACACATACATTTATCAATATTTTTATACCAGCATTCAAATATAGGATGCTTACATACTAAAAACAAGCAATGGTGCGTCGAAATTAATAGCCCAAAGAATCCGTTCAATTTTGCTTGGCATGCAGAGTTGTAGGGGTGCAAACGAGCTATTCCACTCGTTTATATTTCGAGCTAAAAAAATGTGTTCGCATTCAGCTTGTTTGCTTAGCAAGCCAAACACGAGTTTTTCACAACAAAGAGTTGTTTTTTAAAACCATAATTACATAGCCATAGGATGTTAATTGTTAAGGAAGATTTTAAAATTATTATTTATATTAAAACATAATTTTAATCTAATTTAATATATTTTATTTTATTTTCTTAATTAATATTTTTAATTGATTATAAATCTTTGTAGCTCAATTATTTTTTTTAAAAATACTATTCATCAATATATAGATATATAATTGATGAGTAGTATTTCAAGCCAAAACCCGAACACGAACAAGCAAATCTTTGTTTGTATTTGACTCATTAACTTAGCGAACGAGCCAAACACAAGCTTTTTGCGAACAATGAGCCGTTTTGACAGCCCTCCAAAGTTAGCCTCCCCATCCATTTTAAAATTAGCTCAATTTAAGCATAAATCATAAAATTTCTTACCACTCTATAAACTTGTAGTCAGAATAAAATGCCACATATTTTCATATTGTATTAAATGACATCCATGTAGAAAATACTGCATATTTAACATTTTGAGCTATTGTTTTGTTCGAGTCACATACAAATAGAAGACACTTGCAAATGGAACTGATAGAAGCATTTTTTGTCTGTGCGAAGAAGCCGCGCCATCATTAGCGATAAAATTTAACCGAACAAAGTTGTTTTAAGAATTTAAAAAAAAAAAGACGAGAAATCAAACAATCCGCACCTGCATCAACCCTCGACCAGCAGATCAGATGGAGCCATTGCATTTTACGTCATACTTTAATTAAATATTGCACATGAATACCCTTGATGATGGTAATACATGCAATTATGTTGCTAAAATTTTTCTACCAATTCAGCTTATCATACAACCATATGTTTTAACAATCCAATACATAAAATGATTATATTGTTTTGTTCTTTAACATGTCAATATGTAGTATCATGCATAAGAATTGATTTCGTGAAAACTGAAGTTTTTACCAAATGTGCATTTAAGAGGCATATGAATGCCTAAAAACCATTTGGCTCATCCATGATGATTGCTCCGACGAAAATTATCTTTGAATTTATAGATGCAACTCATTCATTTTGCGAGTAGAGTTAACTTGTGTTCGTGAAGTCAGAAAGTTTTATGGAAGAAATGCAACTGTGACCATGCAGCAACTATGAGTTGCTTCATGCCCACAACTAATGTAATAATAAACATTAACTCTATCCCTTCCAGTCAGCAGAACACAACTAAAAACATGGTTGTAAGGTTTACTCTGAATCAACATTCAGATAATAAAATAAAACATTAATATGCTAAAAGTTTCTAGATGATAATGAACTAAAAAAACAGTTAAATTAGTAAGTACTCCATACCTATAGATGAGTTCATAAAACAGTTCTTAGACTCAAAATACATTGTTATCAAACTAGTTCCCATAGTGACGCAACAGAGCAGTAAGTAAATCTATTGAAAATGCCGAATATATAGCTTCAGTTCTCCATCGTGCTAGTCTCAGTCCCGGATCAAGTTCTGGACCTTTTAACAGGAGATGGGCTGCCACCACAGAAAGAAAAAAGATGGTATAAATATGAGATATATACACATATATACACCAGACAATTCTTATGTATATACATATCTAGCACCCCCACATTAATTTTTACACTCATAGCACTCAAATCTTTAAAATCACAACGAAAACATCACTTGTACTAACTTTTTCGAAGTTAAATATGTCTTTCTATGCACCATGGTGTTATAAATGTAAATATTGAACTTTAAAAGTTAGATATGTAGTTCCATAAAAATTATGGTGTACGTAAATACCAAAAAGAAAAAAAAACAAAGCCATCATACTTATATTTCGAGCATATGGGTTTGGATTGGTAAATAAATCCTCAATCCCTTTTGGTCAATGCAAACCACTACCGAATCTGAAATATTTAGCAAACACAAATCTTTTTTAACTGCTATCCATAATCCACATTTTCCTACAAAAATATGAATGATGGAAGAGTGTATGGTTGGATTCAAGTAGGGGAAAATAAACTGGTGGTTTCGACACGTACAGAAAAGATTGGAGAAGGCCTTCATCATAACAAATGTGGAAAGATTAAGATAAAATATGAGAGCTGAAAATGTACCCTTGGTTTTGATATAAATATTAATATTCTAATTTCAGTCAAATTGGACTCAACTATTGTATTCTCTTGAACTTGGTTATTTTTGCCTTTTTCCAGGTATAAATGCAATATGGTCAATTTACTGCAACTTTATACTATTTACCTTTGAGTAGTTTCTATTATAGAATGATAATAATCCTAGGATACTTCACTACTTAAATTATTCAACCATAACTCTTAGAAGTGACATTAGTATCTATACCATTAATAGATCCAAAATAAATGAATGCTTCCAGTTAGATCTATTTTTCATCCCATTAATTGCATCATCTAAGAAAAAACTTGCAACTCAACTTGAATATCATTCGTAAGCACCTCCATGTGCAAAACCAAATTACTTTTAATACTAGCCATATTTTAACAAACATTACTTCAAAAAAATAAATATTGCTTGGGGCCATTGTTATATTTTCTTCCTTAATGCACGGCAACACTTCTTATAATACTTGATCATATGCCGCTCGAAAACAATATAAAAAAATATAAAGAAATCATTTTAATATATATATATATATATATATTTTTTCATTAATCAACTTAAATTGTTTTCATAATGAATGTCACTTGCATAAAACCAAACAACTTAAAATAAACTAATAATATTTCTCGATACTAAAACGTAACTCCCAAATTTGATTGTTTTATAACTATAATAATCTAGAGCTTACCATCACACTGAAAGTATTAGAAGCCGATCTTCTTTGCCGCACAAAACTTTAATCTCTCTCAAAACTTCAAAGTATAAAACCTAAATTTGATTATTTTATCACTGCAGCAAGTTATAAAATCTCAAATGTTCGTAAGGTATTAGAAGCCCATCTTCTTTGCCGCATACAACTTTAATCTCTCTCAAGACTACATAGTATAACACCTAAATTTGATTATTTTATCACTGCAGCAAGTTATAACATCTCCAATGTCTATAAGGCATTGGGATCATTCTTTTCCAAAGCAAACACAACTTAACAGCTACAACCATGAAACATTTTTTTCTCAATAAACACCGAAACAAATCTTATCGTATTGGATCACGTGCTTCTCAAATTAAATAAAAATCATACGAAGATCATTTCTTTAGTATTATATTTATTCACTAAATATTTTAAAACAAAAAAGGCTTACATAGTAAATCTTGTGGCTTACTAAAATCAAATTGATTGTGACATCAACATAAATTTTAAGTCTATTTTATATTGCAAATCTTCATTATATGACACCTAAGTTTGGCTTATTTATAATTACAACACCCATGAGCATCTATTGTTTTTTAAATATTGACAGTAGAATGCCTCTCCTTTAATCATTAGCATCTTTTAGCCTTTAAACTTCCATTAAAAGATTTATCAATCAAACCACTTCAATGTCATGCATAATTCTTAAAAAACCTAATAACAACTCATTTGGACTTTAAAAATCAATTATGCATATTTTTCATAGCTCTCCACTTCTTTTTTTTTAATTAATTTAGAATACACATCATTAATTTATACAACATGCTCTTCTAAAATAAGTTCATCCTTACCAAAAAAAAAAAAAAAAGGTAATAATAAAAATAACTTCATCCATACAAATTACATTCAATGCTTTCTCAAAGTAAAAACTTCAATCTTTCAACCAAATCTTCATCTTTAAACAAAATATTATAATAGTTCTTTCTAATACATTTAGTAAAAAAATCTCAAAATACCTTAGTTATTGTGCTTATCAATACAGAGAGAGAAAGAGAGAATTTTTTAGAAACATCCATTTTCTTCTACATTCCCATTATAAATTATGAATGGACAACATATTATTATCTTATCTTTCCAATGTATTTAGCATGAAAAAAACTTAGTAATTATCTTTATACATAGATGAGAGAGAGCCATTAGTAATTTTTTTTATAAGGAAAACTAACTATTTTTCGTCCCTATCTTCCAACATAAAGTTTAAATGGATCCATTTTAAATCATTTTCTTTTCCCTCACCTAGGACCTGTCCTATTATGCAAATCATCAAAAACCATACTGGTTTTAGTTTGCTCATTTCTTTCTCAGCAAGCTTTCCATCTTCTAGCTCAGATTTATTTATCTTTGATCACTCTTTAAAAATACTTGTATTTTTATAATTCTCTTTAATAATATATTATCTATTTCTAAATTCTCTTAAAACTTCCAAAATATCGCCTTGATCTGTCTACTTCCGAAAATCACTCAACTTTTATGAAAACGTAAATGTGTTCCACACAATCACAAACAAAAAAATAAATAAATAAATCAGAACCACATGATAACACCAAAATTCTGTTAGACTGGAATATCTATGTTTACGAGAGAAGATTTAAGATCCGAACCAATATGGTGAAAACAAATAAATGTGCAAAAAAAATTAAAAAAAAAAGAAATCTCTTCTCCAAACCCAATTACACCCTACTTAGTTATAAAAAGAAGCTCAAATAAAAATAATAATAATAATAATAAGAGCAATGCAATTGAGATTTAACAAAAAAAAAAAACTAAAAAGAATTAAACCGATAACAATAATTATCTACTTCAGTAGCTATATAGAAAGATTACCTTCCCACAAATCTATAGAATCCGAATCATCACAAAATTCATGACAGGGATGTGATCTACGTACATGATAATAACATTACACAATAATGGAAAATATTGTTTTCTACCTTTCATTTACCTCTACTTTTTCTAATTCACTAATTTATTCAACTTCTCTAGAAACTTTCAGACTTTCAAAAAAACGAGAACTCTCTTCAGCCAATCCCAACTGCCAGATTGGATTATATTACACTAATCAGATTTTTTCTGGGCAATTATAGTACTCTATTTTCTAATCCCAGTCCCATCGCACCCCTGCAAGCCAATGATGCCTAATAATTGACATCGATCCTTTTTTTTACAATTATGAATTTCAAAACAAATCTGTTTCGAACAATTTGTAACAAAATTAAAAAAAAAAAAAAAAACTGCCCTATCCCAAAAAATAAATTGATAAATTTATCATAAAAAATAATTATTTCAAATTGAAAATGGAGCATATACCAAAAAAATTATTGACTAAAAAAAATTCTTATAATTGTCTTTTACAACACCCTATCATGCGAGATTTAACAATTCCTTCTCCAAACTCTAGGTTTTTATTGTAAGTTAATTAAATATTAATTATGATCTTCATGCTCAAATTATTTACATTCATAATATCTTGCATGATTAAATCAAAATATATTGTTACACCAGCTCCCATCCTCGGCCACCAAGCCAACATTGCCCAATACCCGAGGCATGCATATCCCAAGTCAATGTTTAGTTATTCCCCTTCGCTTTTATCGTTAAAATATAAAGAAACAGATTCCAAAACAGCTTGTTTCCTATTAAAATAATTTGTCCAAAAAAAAATTCTGAAATCTGATTTCAACTCAAAACTACATAGATAATGTATTTATCCAAAAATAGTTATTTAAGGTAAATGCATAACCAGCAATTTCTTGAATCAAACAAACGTAACACTAGCTTATCATGTACCAAAATCCGGATTGACTCAACTCTCTTTTAACAATAATTTCTTATGGTGATGAATAATTAGCATTTACATAGGTTTAAATATCACATGTCCCATGACATTGGGAAAAATATTAAAAACCTCCCTAGGTTAACCTTTCAGTCACAACCTATAAAACAAAGAGTGCCCTCGTTTGTGACACATCACAACAACAATAGCAGCAACAACAAACCTTTATCCCAATAAGTATGGTCGGCTTCCTGAATCCTTCTTCTCCATTTTGTCCTATTGAGTGTCATATTTTCATTTAATTCTAATAAATTAAAATCTTTTTTTTTATACAACATGCCCAAATCATTCTAGGTCCACCTCTACCTTTCTTACCATAAGTCGGACCTAAAGCATCTACTCTCCTAACCGGATCATCAGATGGCCGACATTTAATGTGACCAAACCATCAAAGATGACTCTCTAATCTTGTCTACCGCTCGACATATACCAACCCTTTTACGGATACACATAAAACAAAAATCTTAAAACAATAATGCCAAAGTCAAAACAATCGAAATCAATGAAAATAAAGTACTACACTTTATTAATTTACTAATGAAATTTTATAGTTCTGCCTTAAATGCTTAAAATTTAGAACTTAATCTATAAAAATGCATAAATATAATCTAATTTCATTTAAGAATAAAATGACATATAGAATGTATTCATAGCATTTCTCTATAAGGAGTTATTTGTATTTTGTTAATCCTTCCGGGGACTATACGATATTTAACTAAACCAGGAAGTACAATATATTAAATGTTTTTTACATTTCAAGCTCCAAAATATTACCCTAGTAAAACATCTTTATACTTATATTCCTCCTACTCTAGAATAGTCGCTCATAACTAATATTCTATCTTATGCATCCACAATTTCTCCAACAATCACCTTACAATCATTTCAAAAAAAAAAATCTTAAATAAAAGAAACATATTTGAGATATAACTTCACTTTTATAAATAAACAAGTAAAAGGCTAAAGATGAAGTAGGCAAAATATAATCACAAGGTTTTCCCAGATCGCATTGCAATTATAGAACAAATTGAAGAATAAAGCACTAAAAACTTTTTTCCAGAATCCTGTAAACACAAACTGATAAAAAGAAAGGAAAAAAAAAGTAAACAAATCATACTTAGAATTTACCCATAAACTTTTAACCTCTAAACAAAAAGATGAGAATAGTTGCAATATTCACCTTCGATATCGGTAGTAATCAGGGCTCCTACTACCATATGATGGTCCATTGAAATGATCATAAACCGGACTGCGCGGCCGCCGCCCATAATCGGGGCTTGGACGGTTCCTGCGGATTGGACTAACAGATCGGTCGTATGGATAGTCACCGCGCCCACCATAGCCCCTTCTAGGGCTGTCAAACCTGTCACCTCTTTCTCCATCATCCCTATGGGCATATTCAACTGAAACCACTCTGTCAAGAAGCTTGCTGCAGAAAAAGATAAAATCATTGTGATTAGATTTTAATTGGATATCAAAGCCCAAAAAGGACGATTTCTCTAAAAACATTTACAAAGAAATAAATTGTAATCAAGCTATGTGCATGCTCCTGTTCAATCTAAAATGAATGGGATGATAAATTGATTTATGATTTTTAAAAAGGGGGATTTACCTGCATACCACTTAAAACATTATTATTTACACACTTTAACTCCAAAAATTCATATTTACATACCTAACACCGTAAATATGTCAAAAAGAAAACAAACATATCACTTTATGTCCTTTACGGTCTCTTCCGTTTGCCATCCAATCATTCTAGTTGCACTCAGGAACAGCTCCCAAATGATTCTACTCTATCTCATCTCCGATTTTTCCTTCAGAGCTCCTCTCTCTCCACTGGGCTGCTCCAGCCGGCAACACATCGAACATCAATGCAATTACAGATCTCACCTCTGTCAACACGCAGCCCGCTCTACTCAGCTGTTGCTCTCCTTCTCCAGCAACACCTCCTACCTGGAACCTTGCAAACGGCAGCAGCAGGTGACTCCAGTGACCAACCCAGGTCCAGTTCAAGCCATTCTTTTCACACCAAACAGTCGGCCTCACCTCAGTCACACCATCCCGCAAGCTTCAACTGCTTTGTGCTCTCAAGCAGAATTGCAGGCCACCTCCCTATTCGACACTATCCTGAGCGTTCCTTCACAGCCTAAAATCGCTGCTTGGAGAGAAGTACCGAACAGAGTTGGCGGAGATGGTGAACGATGGGAAGTGGTATATTTGTTCTATTGACATGATTAGCATGGTATGTATGTAAATATGAACTTAGATGTTTGGTATGTAAATAATAATGTTTTAAGAGGTATGTATGTAAAACCCCCTTAAAAAACAAATCTGTACACCTGCCTTATTTTAAATTTAAAAGAAACAGGCCTTGGAAATAAAATAAAATAACTGAAACAGCGACAAACTATGATCAGATAAACCTTGATTAAGAACCAATAAAGATGAAATTATAAAGCATGCGGACCCAATCTTCCAATCCAACAGATATAAAGATTAATTGGCCAATGGGAGTTCTACATGGAATCAGTTGGAGTAGAAATTTAATCAATGTTAAATTGATGTGTTTCAAATGAATAAAGATTAAAAGAAAAATACTATTATGATGACTTCAACAGGCAAATCATACAAATAACTAAAATAAATATTACATAATAAAATGTTCTCGATAATCATAGTGCAAGTAACCCAAGAAGCAATGAAAGATATTGATATTGTCCTTGATGAAGTGTATACTAATTTAAAAGCACAAATCATCAAATTAAGTGAGCAAATTGGTCTAAACGAACAATTGCTCATCCGATAACCTTCTATTTCATTGCATGGTCAACCCTCAATGTGTTCTTTGTTAAAATACCCCTTCTACATTTGCAGCTGTTATCTTGTTAACACAAAAGTTGTGTTATAATGTTCAACCCTCAATGTGTTCTTTGTTAAAATAACCCTTCTACATTTGCAGCTGTTATCTTGTTACCACAAGAGTTGTGTTATAATGTTCTTTGTTAAAATACACGAGACATTCTATGTTTTCAACGAAACTAAATTATCATCAATGCCTTTTGAGCCTGTTTCATAATTGAGTTGAGAGAAAATTTCATTAAATGCACGAATAAGGTGGCTTGGCGCTTGAACTTAATCTTTGCACAACAAAATTAGAATGGTCAAGAACAGGTAAGACTAAAGTAAGAATGGGAGTGTACAGGATAAATAAAAGGTAATATGAACATATGGGGGCTTGGGTATTTATGTGAATGACATAAATTAAAAGGATACAAAACAATAAAAGTAATTGAGTGAGTGCAACTGCACCCCTTCTATATTAACAAATCTGCCAGACATTGGAATGCAATGTTATTAGAAACAATGCACAAACACATTCAAACCTCAATGATGTTGTCGGATTCTGAAATAGAAAACATATTGGTTGTAATTAAGGCTGTCAAAAAATCTAGTTATGTGTTGGGTTCGTCAATGAGTTCGTGTTCGATTCGTTCGACAAGTAAACTAAACAAACGTGAACAATTTTTTTCGTTCAGTTAGTTAAACAAACCAAACAAAACAGTGATGCGTTCGTTCGTGTTCGAATCGTTATTGTTCGAAATATAAAATAATTTAAAATAGTTATATATAAAAAATTTATGATATTTTAAAAAATTAAATTTTATAAATTATAATATATAATAAATAATAAATTAATAATAACAATATATTAATATACTAATATACTAATATAGATGTAATATTAGGATGTCAAACTGACTCGTTGTTCGCGAACAGCTCGTGTTCGGCTCGATAATATTAGGATGTCACACTGACTCGTTGTTCTCGAACAGCTCGTGTTCGGCTCGTTAAGTAGTTCTTGTTTGACTCATTCGTAAAGTAAACGAGTCGAACACGAATAAGTTTTTAAAACTAGAATCATAAATATGCTGAACACGTACAACCCTTTGTTCACTAGTGTTTAGCTCTGTAATGGACACCATGTTCATGTAAATTAAGAGAATGGAATAAGAGAATTTAAAAGAAACCTCATGTTTGTGCATTCAAGTGCCTTTGTGGCTTCCTCTTGGCTATCAAATTGCACAAATGCAAAATTCCTCCGAATCCGAACATTAAGAACTTTGCCATACGGTTCAAAGTGCCTTTCAATATCACGAGTTCTTGTGCGGATTGGATCAAAATTTATAACAAACAGAGTTTTTGTCGGCCTTGTGTTCGCCATTCCCCTCACGTTATCCCGGTAACGTCCGCGTTCTCCCTGATGAAAATGCACCCATAAATCAACTCATATCAACAACATTTCAAGATGATCATTGTCGAGTATTCAATAACTGAATACAGATGATGCAAAAAAAACTATAACAGGTGGATCAACAGCAACTTAAGAATTAATAAGTTGAGATAATTACCCTAGACCACTCAACTGACAGCCTGCGCTTGCTATATCCAAATGGTGCATTATCAAGACTTCTAATTGCATCCTCAGCATCACGCTCATCCTCATAATAAACAAAAGCAAACCCTGCAAGATGTTAGAAAAATGAGTGATAGAACCATTACTTATATTCATTCCCATTGCCAGAAACACTACCACATCCAAGCAGTTCAATTATTCCCACTAAAAAAAAGATAAATACTACACCTGATGAAATTTGTCAAAAATGAAGTCCTTGTAAGATGAGAGACTAAAACATGGTATCTTATAAGTTTAATCCATGGTCAGTAGTCATTGCTGAGCATGCTTCACCATTGTAGAGAAGGCATTCAGCAGGCACGGCATGATGGAACGGCTCTTCAGCAATGACGTTCTGGCAATGGCAACTTTAGACTATGCAGGTATGAGAAACAGGTGATCATGTGAAGGAAATAAAAGATGTCGGTGGTTAATGGTGGGAGCTGATAACCGGCAGGAAGGTTTCCTTTGGCATGGGAGGTTGGAATGGAAGATAGAGAGCCCAAGATAGAGCTCAGGTTCCTTAACTGCCTCCTGCGTCAAAACAAACATTTAAATATAGACGTCCTTTTTGCAGATATTTAGTTCTTGGTCTTAGAAGATGAATTAGTTTCTCAAAAGGATGGTGATATATGTCACCATGGTGAAGCTACAAAGCTAGTTCCTATTAGGTCTCCGGAATTAAGAAAATAATAGGTCAATTAGTTTTGCAGCACCAACAACGCATTCAAGCACATTCATAACAACAACAGACTGGAAGAAGACGATTCACTATTTTTCTTATTTATGACTGTTATTTAAGACTATTTAGAGTATTGAATTAATAAAAATCTGTGTGGCTCTACTATAAATTGGAAACTTTCAATAATAATAGAATAAACCTGAATCTGAAAAGATTTCTCCAGATTATACAACTGGAAGGATGAAAGTCGCACGAAAATACCCATTAAATAAAGAAGCTTCAGATTCAGGCTCTGCGGTGAACCCTACAGCCGCTTGTTTCACGATAGTCCTCCCAATGTTTAGGATTCATCGAGATTAATCTATAGACTATAGTATTATAAGTTTTGTTCTTGAAGAAAAAGTCGAGTCTACTTTCCCTGATTAGGATTGCATCTGGTAGTTTCCAACATAAAACGCACTTACATTCACGATTTTATGCTTCAGGAAACCCTGATCTATATTTTGATTCTTGAAATGAAAAGAATAATAACACCAGTTCATAACAAACTGAAGATATCAGAACTACAAAAATCTATGCCTTCGGTGCTGATTAAAAGGATGAGATAGAGGAGGGAATTGAAGACGTGAACCATTGACTTACCAGATTTCATGTCGATACGATCAACTCTTCCATATCTGGAGAAAAGCCTCTCCAGGTCTGAATGGCGAGTTTCGTACTCGAAATTTCCGCAGAAAACAGGCCTCATCATCGAATCAAGTCAGATACAGCCTAAGCCTAAGTCTGAAAGAAAATGCAAATGGACAGCATAATAACAAGAAAACTTGATTCCAAATGGCAGGAATTGAGTAGAGGTAAAAAAATATTACCAGGACCAGTCTTTCGACTCGAAACCCTTAACGTTTCAGGGAGGATGGATCCTTGGAGCGATAGCGACGAATGGGAAGAAATTTTGCGACGACAAAAATTAGGGCGTCATTCGGGCACGTGAACGGTTTAAATAGAATTTAGGGGGTTTTTTTTATTGTTGGAAAAACACTCCAAACTCATATTAAAAGAAAATATATTATAACTGCACCATCACTTGAATATAGCACAACATCAACACAATTCAAATAAAAAGCAAATTCTAAGAAGATGAGAATCCTTAAAAAAGATGAGGAAAAACTTGAAGAACCACCAACTTCATATATAAGTAAATTCTAAAAAAAATCCTCCAATTAATAATCATTTCAGCAGTAAAACAGCCTCCACAAAAAATTATCAGCTTCAATGATTCAAACATACCTCTAATAGCAGGATCATCCAAACTAAAAGCAATCAAAAGAAAAGAACTATCAACTAACAGCAACTAAAACAAATAATATTTAGGAGTGAAACAACAAGCAAGAGATGTTTCACTAGATCCAACAATGACCCAATAGTAGGATCCCAAAAAAAACAACAACTAGAACCTGAAAATATAAAATCAAAAACAATACCAAATAAGAGGAGAACAACCAACAACAACAACTCTCAAGCCAAGAGCTCTACAAAAGGGAAAACCCCCATGCACAACCGACAGCCAACCAAAAACCACTCAAGAAAAAATAACAACCAACAGAAAAACATCTGAGTCAATAATAACCAAAGAAGGAACCTCCAGCAACAACAATCAAAATGGAGAACAAACTAAGAGACAACTAACAACCAACAAATAGGAACATAACCAAAGCCAACCACAACTCAAGAGGAGAAAAAAAAAGATAATAGCTTAGCTTAACCATCAACCAGTCTTAAAATATTCATCCAATTCAAAGAAAATAAGAACTTGGTTTAATGAAATACTCACTCATAGAGATAAATTCATTAAGCGATTAAGTTTAAAAACCATGCTTAATGAATGAAAAACTATAGATGGTTCAAACCAAGTAGAATTTTTAGAGAATTGTTAATAATCAAAAAAAAAGATGATATACATCATAAAAAATTAAAAACAACACCAAGACTATGAAAAAGTGAAGTATCCAAAAACAACAAAACATCTTCTCAATAAGCATGTCAAATAAGAAACTTCAAAATAATACAAAACCACTAGCAAACCAAACAATCGACCACCAGCGAAAATAACATCTAGATAAGATGAAGTAACACCAGGAAAGGAAAAAAATAAAATAGCACACTCAACCAATGTCCAGTCCCAAAATATCCAACCATATTTAATAGAATGGAAAATGCTTGAGAACAGGAAATGGTCAACCAAAAACAAGAGTTCAGACTAACAACAACCTAGGAAGAGAACCACCAACAGCCAACAATTAAAACAAAGAAAAACTAAGAAACAAAATAGCAAAACTAACCAATCTCTAGACCCAAAAAAGTGCAACCAACCATAATTCAATTCCAAAATATCCAATCATATTCAAAAAAATAGTAAATATTTAAGAAAAGGAAAAGATCCACAATAAAGAAAAGCTCTGGCCAATAGCAACCAGAGAAAAGAAGCATCAACTAACAACAATCTAACCAAAGAACAACCAAGAGAAGAATATGAACCAACACCAAAAGAAACAACACTAGAATCAATAATAACAACAAATGTCTAACCAATCATTCTCCAATCCCAAAATATTTAACCATATTCAACAAAGAATTGTGAGTTTGAGAAAAGGAAATGTACAACCAAAACCAACCAAAAAAACAAAACACCAACTAAAACCTCTGCAAAGAAAGGTCTCAAAAGTTATAAAAATAAAAAATACAAATAGGAATATTTCTTGTGAATTTTCAATTTTTACTCTTATAAATGATTAATCAGTGAATATAATGACTTGGACTATCAAAACAATAATAATTATTTTTGAAAATTCTTGAATTTATTTTAAACTAAATACTTTATGTTGCAACTTGTAAAGCAAAAAAGATGAAATATTTTTTTAAATTTTGTAAAAGATATTATGAGAATGATATAAAACTTAAATATATTAGGGGGGGGCTATAAAAAATAATCAAAAGACACACACATATTTAATAAATAATCTGTAAAGAGCATCCAAGGAAAAAGATGCTAATGAGTTTCTAACTCATTGCCACAAAGCACACAAATCTTATTAATATTCATAACCTTTAAGAGAAAAAATATCACAAGGTTTTAAACTACAATGAATAATTTTTCAAGCATGAATAACATATATAATAAAATGACCTTTAAACCAAATAAGCTTAAATCAATCAACACAAGCTAGATGATTTTATAAAAATGACTAAACAGTCTTATAGGAATAAGAGTTAACTTGATCCCAAATACAAGAATGATCATTAATAATAGGAAAAGAAGTAATAACTTTCAAACAATTAATAGGAGCATTATTGAAAAGGTCTAAATTCCAATTTCCTTCATTAATAACCTCCATGAAAAGTGCAATTTGAGAAATATTAAACCAATTTAGGGGTTTTTTGGTTTTATATTTTTCTCCTTTTTTAGAGGAAAGTGGGGGTAATTTAGGGGTGTAACTTGAGTGAGATGGAGCTTGTTTGGTTTTGACACGTTTAATTTTTATTTTGTTAATGTTTGAGATAGCTCTTATAGTAACCTATTCGTGTTCGGCTAGAATCAAATTTATTTGTTCGAATTAAACTTGTGTTATAGAAGTTTTAAATATTAATTCTAACTTAGGCTCAAAATAAATTTAAAATAATAATTTAATTTATTTTAAATTATTTTTAAAAGAAATAAAAAAATTAATAATTTGTGCTTTAGATAATTGACATGAAACTGAAAATTCAAATTTTTTTTTTTGCATTTGTGATATAATGCTAATCTCATTGCTCTTGAAGTTCTGATGTGGGGCTGACAATGTTGAATTGTTGGAAAGAGTATAATGGAATGATAATCTATTTGCTCTTGAAGTCTCGATGTGAGACTAACTTAATGTAGAAGAATTGGGAGGAATCAGAACTGGCCAGAGTAATTTACATGCATACCAACAAATTCTTAAAAATTTAAATATGTTGCAATTATCATCACTAATTAACATGCTGAGATTATTGAAAATATGAGAGATAAAATTCATGATATATTAAATAAAAATAGATAAAACCCTACTTTGGAGTTTAGATGAATTCTTTATTTATAGTAAGAAAAATGTCTAAAATGTGTTTTTTTGCAAATTAATTTTACAAATTTAAAAAGTGGGATTATGATCATGAAGATGAAATTATTAAAATAAAACTATCACAATAAGAAATAAATAGACTTAATGCTCTTGAAATTAATAATGAAGAATCTTACGATGCTTAAGAAATAAGCTTACTTAATGATAATGAAAGACTTAATTTTTGACAAAAAGTTATTATGCAAAAATAGTTTATAACTATTAAATTAACAATCTATAAATTTAGGATAATTAATCCCAAAAAAAATATTATAAATGAAATGAATATAATTTATAAAAAAAAACTCTTCATATTAATTCCATAAAAGAATAAATTAATATTAAGAAAATTCAATAATAAATTTAGGATAAAAAAATTCAAGCCAAAATTACTGGTACCACAAGAATTGTAAAATGAAATTTATGGAGATAATCAAATAGCTTTTTGGGAACAAAAGAAACATATTGCATAAAATTACCATATGAAGAATAATTTAATAAAAAATTACCATATGAAGAATAATTTAATAAAAAAGATATTCTCACTAAAGCTAAGCATGTCAAATGAACAATATTTATCTAGAATTATGCAAATGAAAAAAAATGGTTATTAATAAAAAAAATCGAAATTTATAGTCTAAGTGGAGTTGCACTGCATTTTATATTGAAAATTATTGTTAAAACAAATGAGTTTACCCTAGAATTGTTACCAATTATAAACCCTTACATAATGTTTTAAAATGGATTAGACAACCTACAACTAACTAGAAAGATTTATTTATTCATTTTTGCATAATATTGTTTTTTTCTTGAAATTTGATCTTAAATCACTATATTGGCTGATTCAAATTAAGGAAAAAGATCAAAGTAAAACTGAATTTACAATCCCTTTTTGATATTATGAGTGTAATGTCATGTCATTTTGGTTAAAAAAGTGCACAATGTGAGTTTTAAAATATAAGAAATGAAATATTTAATCTTTATTTTTCATATATACTTATTTATATCGATGATGCTCTATTTTTTTCTAATATAACTAAATTACATATTAAACTCATTAATATTTTTAAATGACTTGCTAGGAAAAATAAAATAGTTATTTCACCACCAAAAATTAAGACAATGAAAAAGCAAATACATTTTTTAGGGCATAATATTTCATATTCTTCCATAGTGTCTATTAATGGCAACATAGAATTTGCTAATAAATTTAATAATATTAATAATAATAAAATCTAACTTTAAAGGTTTTTAGGTGCTTTAGATTAAATTTTTTCTTTAAAATTGTTTCATGTTGCAGCTCTTAGTAACACCAAAGTTGTTAAGAAAATTATACAAGATGTTAAAAAGTTATTTTGCATTAATCTAGTTCATCTATTTATAAATTGTTGAAACAGATGCATCTAATATTGGTTAAAATGATATATTAAAATAAAAATTAACGCCATCTTCTAAGGAGCTAGCTTGATTCGCTTTTGATAGATGAAATCCTACTCAATCTAGATATGTTATTATTAAATTAGTAATGTTTGTCATAATTAAATCTATTTCAAAATTTCAATATAATCATCTTAATTCAATTTTTTTGTAAAGAATAGATTGTTGTGTAGTTAAATCATTTTTTCTTAAAAACATTAAAAATTTAGCTTAGATAAATATTTTTGCTTATTGACAAGCTCAATTATCATTTTTTTATTCTTATATAGAATATATCGAGAGAAACTAACTATCTGACTGATTTTTTAATGCACAAATTTTTTGCAAGGATTGTTAAGCGTGGATAACACCCAATGAAAAGTGTTCAATGAACCTTCCAATTATACTTGCAATGGAGGGATGGATAAGGGGTCATTGAAATCCATAGAATGATAAATGCAAACACAAAATTTTTGCAAGGATTCTCAAGGGTGGATAACACCCAAAGAAAAGTGTTCAATTAACGCTCTTAATTATACTTATAGTAGAGGGAGGGAAAGGGGTCATGCAAATTCATCTCTCATAATGTTCAATTTAACTTAATATATCAATGAACATCTCAAAGCTAATCAGCATGAGCATCATCTTCTTAATTAAATGAAAATTATTCTAATTATAAAACATACTATGAAATCTTTGAATCAGAATCTAGTATATGCACCAAAGATTTATTTGTCACATATTAGATATTAACAATGGTGATTATCATCTTACTTGGAACGGTATTTAGATAATAGTTTTTTTCTCAATAATATTGTTATGATGAAAATATGTATGAAGTCATCCTGCTTTCTTTAGAATGTGTAGAAATTCAAAATAGTTATGACAAAGAAAAAATAATAATTATATATAGTAAAGCCACTATTCATTGAATCCTTAATCCTAAAGCATGAGGTCTTACTCCCTATCAAATCAAATCCATTGAATATAAAAATTTAGAACCTAACTATCATATAACACTTTTATTTAATTATTAGACTTATATTGAGACAATGCATAAGTTTTTTTTTTTAAATCAATCATAATAAAAACATTACACTACCAATTTTATTAGTGGTGAGATAATTGTGGTGTTATTTTACAAATTTTTCATGCGCCAACAAATAAGAGTATTCATAATGGGTAGAATATTCTTCTTATATTTCAAAAATCTCTGTTTACACATTAATTAGTGGTCAAACATAATTATATTTTTTTCGCTCAATGTCAAATCCTGTGGTCTGGTCTTAAAATTTAGAAATTCAACATGATTAAAAAAAATTATTTACTTAAAAATTTTACAGAATGATGGGCAACTATTATACTTGAAGTAAATGTTAAATATTGTAATACTATGATCCTTATGAATAAATCAAATATTTCATAAAATCATTCTAAAAATAAATTTCATTAAAATCACTGCATAGCAAACTTAGAAGAAAATTTACTAAATAATCAACAAAAGAAATTAAAAAGCAAATGAAAAAACAAATTAATGAATTATTATGAAAAGAAGAGGAAAAAATGAATCAAGATGATAAGACAATTGTGGTCCGCGAGAATCTACGAAAAAGTTTAGAAGACATATACATGACAATTATTCATAAAAATGAATAATTCATAATCATGTAAGTAAAAAAAGTGACCCACCACTAATTACCACACCAATCAAGCTATGTTTTTTAGCACTATCGAGCTCAAAAGTTTAACAAATGGCTCCATCCTTAGATTTAAACTCTCATTACAACTATCATACATGGATTTCAAAATCCATCTCTCATGATTTTAATCTTTTAATTAAATAAAATCAAAATTTAATGACTGATTAATTCAAAACACCCTTTTTCAAACTTCATAAAGTTATAGGTTTCCAAAATATAAAATATAAAAACATATTAAAGAAAGTGCATGGATGGATGCATTAAGACTTCAGTGGGACATATGAAAGCAAATAGCTAGTATTGATTTGAATAGTCATCACCTGATAATTATAACAAACCAATGACTTAGGATTACATTATATATAGACATTTTAATGCAGCTTGTATAATATGATTAATTCAAAACACCCTTTTTTAAACTTCATAAAGTTATAGGTTTCTAAAATATAAAATATAAAATATAAAATATAAAAATATATCAATGAAAGTGCATGCATGGTTGCATTAAGACTTAAGTGAGACATATGAAAGCAAATAGCTAGTATTGTTTTGAATAGTCATCACCTGATAATTATATCGAACTAATGACTTAGGACTACATTATATATAGACATTTTAATGCAGCTTGTATAACCCCAATAGATTATTTGAAATGAGAAGTTAATATTTGAGAATGAAAATTCTACAAACCTTTTTTACTTAATTATTCACTCATTTTATTATCCAAATTTATACATTTTAAAATTCAGTTCATTGCATTTTATTTACTCATTTGAAAAAGTAAATACTATTTATCTCCAAATAAATTTTAATTATAGTGAAAATTCTACAAACCTTATTTTTTTTCTTAATTATTCACTCAATTTATTATCCAAATTTATAAATTTTAAAATTCAATTCATTGCATTTTATTTACTCATTTGAAAAAATTAAATACTATTTATCTCCAAATAAATTTTAATTATATGGGATATTTTTATACATATTATGTAACATCTTAATTTTATATTAGATAATACAATGTAAAAGATTTTAAATTACAGAGGTGACTACTACTTGTTCAAAAAATAGTTGTAAAACATCCTTATCGGCACTATTTTTGGTGTGGGGTTTGCCCGTACGTTGTTCCAAAAATAGTTGTAAAACATCCTCTTGGATAAGCAGCTTCTCAGGTGTTGTCATAAAGCTGCTAATTGAAAAACGAGAGTTTGTTTGGGTAATTTGTTGTGTTACAGCTCTTTCTAATTAAAAAAAATATTTTACCCTTATATATGTAATATATCAGAATAACAATAATTTTCAAAATAATTATAACAGAATAATATAAAAAATCATGTTACACAAAATTTTGGTGGAGTGCAAAATACTCTAATACGTTAAAAAGTAATTAGTCATTTCATGTATTAACTATAATAATAAGAACAACCAAATAACCAAAAAAACATATAACTGATTTTTTTTTCATGTATTGAGTATCAAGTCTTTGAGATAATATCTTCTCCATGATAACATCTCTTTTGACCTGGTCACTATCTGGAGCAAAGTCATCTGTGCCATCAATCCAAAAATAATTGAATTCTTTAGGTGTCATGTTTTTGGGACAACAGTAAAATCTAATATGGTCGTTGCATTTCTTTCTTGATTGGCCATCAACACACCACATATCACAATGACAAGATGGAACTCTCAAATTATCTGATGCTCTAGAACTCATGTTTCATATGATTGTAATACATTACGACTTTAATTGATAAAAAAAGTTTGATATGCAATAAAAACATTAAAAATTTAAACATTTTCAGAGTTAAGATGTATATCTTTCATAAAATTAAACAGATTCTAAAAACCTTACGATCAATGTCCCAGCATTTCAAATTTTGGAGGGTTAATGAATTTTCTTGTTGGGAATGTGGCACGAAGAAAAATTGATTAAGATGTATATCTTTCTAAATAATTTTAATTTCCTCATAAGTTGACTAAATACTGCATCACAAAAAAATCTAACAGTTGAGGGCCTACATCTGCATGTTAATACTCTCGTGTTCATGACACTGCAAGAGTATTACATGGTAATAGAATAGACATTAGAGGAGGAAATCTAACAGAACAAATGTTTTTTTTAGTCAAATAAATTGAACAATATCATCATAATATCATAAAAAAACCATGATGCCAATAGAGTGCCATTGGAATTAACATCAATATATAACTGGAAAACCGCCAGAATAACAACACAACACCACAAGAATACCACCAATAAAACACCAGAATACCATTAACAAAATACTAGAATACCACCAACCACCATAGTACCACCAAAAAGCCAAAAAAAACCAAAAAAATATCATTAGAATGCAAATAAAATACTACCAAAATACCACAATAATACTATCAGAAGACCACTAATATATCATCTTAATACCACCAAAACACAACTATAATACCGCCAAAAATATGTGGCGATATTCTGCTGGTATTGTGGTTTAGTGGTATTCTGGCGATGAAAGTTGATGTAATTTTTTGTGGTATTAATGTGGTATTCTGGTCATATTTCGATGGTGTTGTAATGATATTCTGATGGTATTTTGGTGATATTCGGATGGTTTATTAGTGATCTTTTTGGTATTTTTTGGTGGCTTCTTTGGTGGTATTCTGGTGATGATCTTGTGACATTCATTTTGTAAAGTGATGTCAATTATTTTGATAGTATGGCGGTGTTGTGATGTATTATTTGTAAAAATGTAGCACTGGTATTTTGGTGGTATTGTGTCCTAGTTGGTATATGGGTTTCTTCAGTTAGTGGTAATTATTTGAAATATTGTGTTATTTTTGGCTCTCTTATGGTGTTATTGTGGTTTTCTTACGGTGGACTTGAGATTAGTGTGTTAATATTAAAGTTGTGTTATGATGTTAATATAATGACATTATGGTGCTTCATGAAGGTACAACGGGTTACTTGGAAGTAATTTTTACATTATTTATTCTCGGAAAGCTAAACAATGATATGAAATAGTATTTTGAATTTTTTGATGGTTTTATGTTTTCCAAACACATTGAACATAAGAAAATCTTATTGTTTCAATATTATAAAGTCAACAGTACATATAATGAGATACTTGTATTAAACGAATGACTATAAATGAAGGATTAAACTTCTCGGTTAAAAAAAAGATGAACCCTAAACCTTAAATAAGTAAAGTCTCATTGTTTACTTCTTTGGTTTCTTTTTTTTCCTCTTTGTTATTTTTTTTCCTCCATTGTATCCATTACAACTAACATAAAAATCTAAGCATTGTATATTGAACAACAAAATTAGTTTAGAGGATTTTACAACCAAAACTAGCTAGAAAATATGTAAACCTTATTAGACAGAGTCCTGAGTCCTAATGTCTAAGTGACGGTGTCGAAACACCAGTGTCAAAATGCAGGTGATGAATACACAAAATCCTCTGATGTGTCTAATGGCGAAGAAGCTTAGCTCAAAGCTCAGCCGAGTTAAAATTAGTTCAGTTTTGAAAACCCGAAACGCTCGGGGTCCTCGGAGAAAGAGAACCGAAAATCTCAGAATCAGCTCATAATCTCACATCAGTATGAATGGACAACACATTTCTTAGAAATATTCAGGCGGTATTTGGGCCGGGTCGTGGGAAAATACACTTTTTTATTTTTTTTTAAGGTGGTGGAAAGTGGATCCATCATTTTACAATATGCTTCACATCTGACTTATTTTTATTGAAGCCTGGACGCAGAACTCTGTGCAAAGTTTCTTCCCCTGCTCGGCCCTAACCCCCATTGATGGTGGAATAGCTGGTCGTGAAGTGCGAGATCTTGGTCGTCATACTTCTCGTCGCGGCCCTTGATTCTTCCCTTCTCGTTCAATGATACACGCGGTGTCGAATTGATTACTGGTTAGATAAGAGATGCAGACCGCCCAAGCTTGGTTCACCGGATACCCGAGCAGTAGCGAGCCGCAGAAAACCTCCTCCCCCCCCCCTTCCGCTGGAATTCTTATGCTGCGTCGAGATCCGCGGAGGATGGCGGATCTTCTGCTCTCGGATTCGATATCGAGGCCGCTGTTAGGACCGCCAACGATAAGGTGTCCGGGACCTTCAACGTGTAAGGAACAACAATTTATGTCTTCTTTCTTCACTAGATCTTTGACTCTGTTTTACTTGATGGGTTTTTTGGGGTATGAAAGATTAGGGGTTTGATGTATGTTGAATAAATTGTTCTTACTTTTGGATCGCTCTCCAACTTGTTATTGGTTAAGTTGAGGGATAAGTAGTGGTGAGAGCCACATAGAAAAACCACCGGGGAGGATGTTATTCATGAGACCTGGAGGCGCAGAGGCCCGTCATAAATAATTTCCTTGTCTGCTGGGAAGTCCTATATTTGCATTTTGTAAATTGGAGATAGAACATTAGTTTTCTTGTTTATTTATGCATGCTAATATACTTGGTTGAGTTCGACAACTAGCTTGATGAGAATTTTATTAAATACTCGTTTCATACTTTTTAATACCCTGACCAATTTATTCTTTCTTTGTATCAACTTGATTGTATCCAATGCACCATCCAATGCACTAGAAGCTTTGTTGTTGTTGTTGTTGTTGTTGTTGTTGTTGTTGTTGTTGTTGTTGTGTTAATGATATGATAGGTGAATCAACGAAACTTTAATGAGTATATTATATGTGTGAGTGATCAAATTTTGCTTCATATACATTATAACAGGCTACTTGACTAAATCTCAATAAAACTGAAATATATTTTCTTGAACGTGATTAGGCTGGTGTTATGCTCAAATTTAACTCAAGCTTGATAAGGAAATAAATGAACTTGCATAGGCAATGGTAGACTCAGCGAAGCTCTTTCACAATCCTTAAGTATTCTCAGTATAAATCGTTGCTATTATAGTGCATGCCTATAATTAGCTATTGTTACCGTTTAGAAGGGGTTCCCATCCATTTGCTCTAAGGTGTAATTGTTGTTGGGACACTCATGGCTTTTGACACCAATTTAGGATTGCTTAACATGTTGCGCATTCAAGAGTGGGGTTAGTTAAGTTGTAGGATGAGAAAGGAGGGTAAAAAGATGATTGTGACTTAGAAATCAGGTTTCTCAATAGCTAAACAGGAAAAATGCAAATCTACTGCAAAACTGGCAGCATGGGAGGTCTTTGAACATCCACAAGAGATCATCACATTGATCCAATCTGGCTAGAGGTACACCACCAGAGAAAGATTTAAGAATACTACACTACAACAACTGCAAATAGGTCTGACAAGTCTATGTGGGTTGGAATAGCTTGAACTGATTCCTCCTGGACTGGTTCACACGTCTCGGGTTAGCTTGGGACTGGAATCAAGAGTGGGAGGTATAGATGTCTTTACCATTCTCTCTGGGTACTATAAAGTTTGCCTTCTTTATTGGAATCAAGAGTATGATGACAGACCAATGATGTTGAAAGTAGTAGAAATGTTATAATCTTCGAGCTATTGAATGCTTTATCATTGATCTTTTTAATAATCCTGAATGGACTATCAATTATTGGTTAGAGCTTTCTAAACAACTAACTAAGAAACAACTCTTTATTTAGCCTAATCCACACTATGTCGCATTCCTTGAAAACTATGACTTTTCTAGACTTGTTAGTCTACTTTTGATACTTAGTACTATGTTTGATGATTTTATTCTTCACCTACTCATGTAGGGCACAAATCTATTTAATTCTAGCATTTGCATTAATATTAAGCTTAGTAGATGTAAATACCTGTACTAACTTCAATAATGTGAGGATTTCGCTTGTATATAATTTCAAATGAATCATGGCCTGTTAACTGACTGGCAAACAATGGTGAAAGCAAACTTGACCTGAGGAAGTATCAAGTCCTATTGCCTTTTGGGATTGCCTATAAAGCTCCTAATGAGTTTCCTCAAACTTCAATTTATCACTTATAGCTGACCATTGGTCTTGAAGTGCGTTGCTGAACTAAACTTTAACTTTGTAGCAAGCTTTTCCCACAAGTTTCTCCAAAAATAATTCAAAAGTTCACATCTATGTCATAAGTGATGCTCTGGGGTATGCTATAAAGATGAATTATTTTGTGAAATGTCTATCATCTATTTTTGAAAAATGATCTAAAATTACTATGATTGAATCCTTACTCTATTGTGTCCATGGGAGGTTCACAGCGAAGTCCATGCTTATATCTATCCACAATGACTCTGGTATGGGAAGAAGAGTATCTAGAACCGTATTCTTCCTTTGGGTCTTGGCTAAGTGACAAATTTTGTACCATCAAATATTTCTCTCAACATCTCATACCAATCTAGGATAGTAGAAGTTCTCTTTTATTGAGGAAAGAGTCTCGTCCCTACCAAAGTGTTTAATCAACCTTTCATTGTGGCACTTGCAAAATACTCCCTGAGTGAACTCATAGGAAAATATTGTCTGCTCTAGTAGAACAAGCTGTCTTCTACTTTGGAATTATTCATAAAGTGTATTTTAACAGCAAACTTAAATCTTCTAAAAATCCTCGTTAGTGGCATACAAATCTTTCAACACTTCAAAAAGCCAATGACCTTTGATTACATAGTGGCAATCAACAAGTGGCGATGACTCAACTACTGTATTCTGGCTCTCTGTTTGCACAAAATAAGAAGTGGAAAGGAGCTCAACCCAAGAGGCATGCTTACCCTCTAGCTTACTCTGATTGTTCAAAAATCTTAAGGTCTCATGATTAGTATAAATTTTGAAATTACTCTCCAAAAAATAGTGTCTCCAATGATTGAGAGCTTTCACAATGGTATAAAACTCTTTGTCGCAGGTAGATTACTTTCTCATTGAATCATTTAGCTTCTCACTGAAGAAAACAATAGGTGTTCTCCTTGACTCAACACAGCTCTAATCCTCACATTGGAGGTGCCACACTCTATTTGATTAAAATATGGAAGAGCTAGGAGTTGGGTAAACTGCTTATTTAAAGCACTAAAGGTAGCCCACGTTTCATATAACCATGAAAACTTGTTTGTCAAGAAGAGCTCTATCAATGGTCCTGCGATAGAATTAAAGTTCTTGATGAGCCTTCTATAGAAAGAAGTTAGTCTATGAAATTGGCGTACTTGAGTAAATGATTGTGAGTTGGCCCAATTCATAATAGCCTTGATCTTAATTGTGCCCATTTTATTGCTAGCAATTGAAACAATGTACCCAATAATGTACGTTTGTGGTGTCTGAAAGTGACAATTCTTCGGGCAGCCATACAACTGCTCTACATGCAAAACTCCAAGAACCTGCTGCTGCAAATTCTTCTCTTTTGAAAGGCTTTACACATGGATGTCATTGAAGTACATAAGCACAATATTTTTGATAGAGGCTCGAAAAATCAGGCTTGTCAATTTCATGAATGTGCTCAGTGCATGTTGACCTCATTTTCGTGAGGTCTTCTCTTCTCCTCCTTAGAGCCTAGGATCTAATTCTAGGAGTTCTTATTGACCGTCTTAGAAAACTAGAATTGAGACTCACCCTTTTAGAAAATTCTAGCCAATTCCTATTTTCCTTTGATGTCTAGCATTTTTGGCACAAGACCATCGTCATATAGACGAGTGGTTACGGGCTATTTTGCGAAGACTCAAGGGAAAAGTTTCTGATAGGACTTCAAGCCTTAGGGAAATATCGTCACGACCTTTTCGTCACATACACACATCAAACACACAAAGTTCACGAAATTGCACGAAATCGGACTTCAATTAAGCCCAAAGGACGGG